TGTTGGTTCCGCTCGAATTGTGTGCGATGCAGTCGATCGAATAAATTATGGGATGGATTAATCGATTGTAATCGTAAATTCTATTTATAGTAATTCTTCGCATGTAAGAGATTAATCATGCCTGAAGCGACGCCATGCGTGACGGAAGATCGATAATAGACTTGTTATTGTGATGTTCACGCATTAAAAAAGTATTCAAAAATGTTTGATGGCATAAATAAATAATAATGGGAAATAGAGATAAATCCATCAATTATCTCCACACATATTTATATTTTTACTCACTTATTATTAAAAGGAAATGTTTAAGCGTTATAATAAAAACTGTAATAATAAATAACCTGCTTTGTTTTATTTGTAATATATTCTTAATGAAATATAAAATATAAGAATGTCTTCAACACATTAACATATTATACTGAATTATGTAATGGCATAAAAATGTACCCAGTACATTCAATTAAATTATTAAAAATGTACAGTATTTACATTTTTCTTAACCTTACTATGTAAACATAAAAATAATAATTTAAAATTGAAAAAAAATAATTTAAAAAGTTTGGTATCTGTAGCAGTGTACCTTCCTCGCTGTAAAGCCTGCTGCTTTATGGTACTATGTACCAGGCGCCAAGTTAAATCGTTAATTAATGGCGCCTGTGCACTTGAACCCCGAGGCCCAAGAGTGACTACTCCAAATTTACTATTTTCCAGCTGAATGATTGAACGATTAATTATCGTAGAAGATTTGTGCAGTTGTTTGCGTGACATCAAAAATCTTAATATAAATTAGTGATATATGACACTATTCTTGTTTTACTTTTGACATCTGTTGGGGTCGTATATGTGTTCTCCCCTTTAATAGCTAGTAGCCCAACAAGTTGTAATGTAAATTATTTTTCTAAGAAACAGTTAAATATGGTTGTTTATTGTTCAACGTGCGTGCAAGTTGAAGTTTAAAATTCAACAGCTCCTGGTTTATTAGAACTGTTTGCTTATACATTCAGTGATTATAATGTAAATTAATTATACATTAATTTTACTACAGAATCACGTGTTAATGCGTAATCTGAAATGTAGATTAATTCGTTATTTCTATATATGATACGAGAGCTATCCGCTTAAACAGATACAGCTAATTGTAACTTCAGAAAATATAGCTCAAAGCGTCACAAAAGGGTATTTGTGACCAGTGAGGTTAAAAAGTTTCAAGTTATAATGTCTAAAAAGACCACGCTCATTTCGTTCCAAATACAATTTCGTTTGCAAATTATTCTTAGAAACTTTACTGTTACTTCGCAAAACTTCTAGATTAGCAAAATATACAATGGAGCATAAATTTTATTACTTTATGTACAATTAGTTAGGCTTACGAAAAGTGCAGATGGTGAAATCCCAAAACCTTGTAAAACAATAAAGTCACTTCAGACAAAAGCCATTCATCTATAGCGCCACCTTTCGGCAAACACCAAAAGGTCTATTCAGGAAGATAGAACAATTGCCTCTCATTACAACACTCATTAAACATTGTCATGTACTTTTGAGATGTTCCGGCCATGTCGGGCTACGAGATTTACGAATACTGCCCAACAACATCAATTTATTTAGTGAAAATGCATCATTTGTAGGATTTATATTTAATGTATTTAATTTGTAGTCGTCACTGAAGGCTCAGTTTCGAGGCTTGTTTTTTGAGTTTGCAATGTTAAAAGCCAAGTTGAAACGAGATTTATTTAATAAACACATTGTAAATGAGAGAAAACTATCAAAATTAATTGTCGAACATGAGTTCGAATCAGTGTAAAATATTTCGTGGCCTTTCGCAAGTACGATCGTTTCTGTAAAATTATTTACAACGAGCGGCGTTCACAAAAGCTTGCTGTTTATTGCGCCATAAATAGTGATACAACAACAATATTTATTCCGTCTCACCTGATATTTATTGCTTTACTGCTTCGGCCTGGTTTTTACGCTGAACAACTTTGATCTGTGAAGGCTGTCACTCGGCAACATCTTAATTTTACCTCAGCAAGAATTATTGCAATACCTCCTATTGTTAAAGTGTCACAAATAGCTATGAAATTTTCAATCTTGCTGTTATAATTTTGATGACGATTAAATCATAATCACAACTTACCTTTGTAAAAATATAAGGCATGGCGATGTTCAGTGACCAAGTTTACCGCAATTTGCATAATACTTTTCACCTTTTGTAAGAAAAACATTTTTCGAGATAAAAAGTTTTTCCTTAAAAATTAAAGACAACGTTAAAGTAAGCGGAGAGGGAAATTTTATTACAAAGAGATAAAAGTCAGTCTTAAGGCAGATTTTATTTTATTCGTCTCTTATCTTTACTTTACGAAGATAACATTTTACAAGGTTATAAATATTACAATTAGGGGTTGAACAGAAAGGCAATTTTATGAGTGTTTTTGGGGGGTCCAAACTCGGTCATAAACTTTATGTTTATGTAAATAGGTCTTAGGTAAATATTCATAGGGTTTATTTACTTCATAAATATCAATGTAATTTATACATATTATTATACTTTGTAAAGCTTAGTTTTGGGATATAATATCTATATACTGAAAACCTGTTGTAGTGTTCACAACAGGTTTTCAGTATATAGATATTATTTCAGTGAAGGATTTGTGCCCAATGTTGGACCTACAAATGAATTTGTTTAGCACTAGTGTGAGTGTGTAGTGAGTGATTTTGTCTCAAGTCCCAGAATAATTAATAATTTCATACAAACTCATAGTCCCGCACGTAACTACCATGAGCGCTGTAAGGCAATTATCACAAATATTTTTATTCTGACCTACCTAACATAAATTGAAAGTAATATTTATATCCGACTTGAGACAGAATAATCTTCACACATAGTTTACGCATTTATCATTTCTAGAAAGAACACAAATAAATCTTCAAAATAACCTCACGCTTATGTCAGTTGTCCCATTTACCAAATATTTAGACTCATCAACGTGTAAATAAAATATTTAATGGAGATGCAGAGCTATTTATTATGATGTCACGTTTCGTGTAATGAGAGAATAGTCGCTCTTTGTCTGACCGGATGCGGCGAGATCAAAGCGTGTTCCTCTCTGCGTCTGACGAGCCGCTAACCGCCGCACAGACACTTGAATTTGTGAACTAGACTAAAAACAACACCTGGAATTGCTTAGTGGTACATGAATTGAATCGTAATAGATATTTTTGGAGTGAAACTTCTTTAGGCTCATGAGGGTAATTTTTTTACGGGTGAAACGTCGACCTTGTAGAAATTCTATTTTTAAAAATAAAATTTCGTAAAGAGTATTTATGAAATATTTGTATTTTTATTAATTTATTGAAATCTCAAATGACGAATTGTAAATTAAAATGCCACGTGTTTTAAGTATCGAAGAAATAAATTTAAAAAAACAAATTTATAATTTGTATTATTATTATCGACACTTTTAAATTTTAATATTAATGACAATTCAATTCCTAACATATCTTCCTTTTTCACTCCCTCTAAGTCTAGGAAATCTAAAGTTTTATATTTGTGTAAATATGAACAAGACTTAAAAATTAGTTTGCCAAAGAAGTTTCACTTCTGACTTTGTACGCATGCATTTTTTTTTTAGTTAAAGCCATTTCAGATCAAGCTTTCGTTGTAATAAAAAGTGAATCTACCAAATTAGATTTCATTCTAGTGCTATTATTTTAAATAATATTTGTTATTGCCTGTTACTGAGTGAAAGGATTTCTCACAAATATATTGTATACAAATTACTGTTCTTGTATTTATACAAATATAATTGTAGTATTATTTTTAATACTGTATAAGTCTACTTCTGTGTAACAATACAAAGTAACATTTACATTTAATTGTATTAAAATATTTGTATAAATTAGATTGTTTGAAAGGCATAGAAAATACAAATAAACATTACAAACGAGATTGGGTACTTATATTACATAGTGTGCACAGGGGTCGCGCTGAAAAGATTAAATAGGGGAAGAAACACTTTAAATCCAGAACCCCAAAACTTGTGTAAAAACTAACGTATCGACACATCCAATTTAGTTTTTCAAAACCACACGTCAAAAGAGACCGCTTTCGGCGTTTTAGAAGTTTTTTGTTCCTTTAATACTGTTTACACGTGAATAAATTATTTAATTGGGTTCGGATATCCGTGAAACGACTGATTCATGCGTACTCAAGCCTCATTGTGGTCAAACTAGTAATTTCTTTTTAAAATGACTATTGTGTTTGAATGTATTCAATTAAAAGTTACACATTTTACTCAAAAAGCTCTATAGAAGCTCGAAATATATAATTGTATTGACACTAGTGTATGTCGCCTTTAATTAAATACAATATAATAATATATTAAATAAATTTATTTAAATAGAATTATTGCAATAGTGTATGTAAGTTGATCAAATTTAAATGTTATGTTCTGAAATGTTTGACGTTTTCTCGTCTATTCCTGTGCAAAGAAATAAATTGGATAACTTATAAAATAAAACAGTCATAGTTTCTTTAACAATGTTAGAATCTTTATATTCCTAATTTATAGAAAAAGGGGCCAGCGAGGCTCTGTTTAGCAATAAAAATGTTTTTTGTTTAGCGTGTCCGCGCTCTGTCAAATATATTACAACCCGCCGTGTTATTTACGACCTCTGTCGTCCGCCCATACGTTATACTTAGTATCTTTGTTTGGACACAATAAGCAATATTTCTAAAGGGACCGACGCTCGCAGCTGTTGATATGGGTTCCAAATTGACATATTTAATTTGATCGCTACGGAGGGCTTTCGACCGAGTCGTGTTTGACAGGTTTTAATGTCGGATTAACGTTAGCATTATGGAGTTTACGCCGTCAATAGAGTGAAATACGCGGTCATAAAGCTTTGACACGAAACGTGTACGTGGAAGCGTCGAACAGATCAATTTACCCTTTGAACCGAGCTCGGAACAAAGGCGACTGTTAAAGCGTAAGTAGTCGAGAATGTGTCAGCGAAGCGCCGGAGAGCAGCGGTGTCGAAAGCGTAATAAAAGTGGCGCGGAACAAAAAAGCCCCGGAGTGCAGCGGGCAGGTAGACGCGGCGGCTCAAAGCGACGCCGACCTGGGTGGCTGGCCGCTCGCCGCTCGCCAACGCCATCGCACGTCTCAATCCGCACCGGGCCTCCAGCCATGCCGCCTTTCCTTTTTCCCCTACCGCAATGCAGCTATGTGTCGTTTCCGCTTTATTTTTTACGACCGTGTTCTGCAGCGGAGAGCTATAGCGTTGCTCTTCTAACAAAGACTTGAGATATCGCTATCTCATTCGAGCGGGGTGCGGGGGGTACCGAGTCCCTCGTCGGATTTTAGTGGGGTCTCGCGTCTCACAGTCAGCTCGAGCGCCACGACGGACGCACGCATTCGCTTGGAATATCCCGCGCGGCACAGAGTACTTTGTTTTGAGAGCTAACAGTGACTACGTAAAGTTTATTAGTGATCGTGAAAGTTTTTCTCCAAATGGTGGTACTTGAAGACGGAGGAATGATGAGCAATCCTAACCAATACCTTCAGCCTGACTACTTATCACCGCTTCCATCATCTGTAAGTATTTTATTTAAAAATATTTGAAAAACATCACAATTTAAAAGTAATATTAAAATCAAAATTTAATACCAAAAATATTTTATTAATTTCTATTTTCTTTTGTTATAGTTGGATTCGAAGAAGAGCCCCCTTGCGCTTTTAGCGCAAACTTGCAGTCAAATAGGAGCCGATACGATGTCTTCGAAGCCGCTTCTTGCTTCTGTTGACAAGAAAAAATCAGTGAACAGTGTTAATAGTGAATCCCTCAGTCGTTCTTCACCAAATTCCTCTAAAATGGACAAGCCTCGCGCGACCCCGGAAAATAAACATTTAGCCTTCAAACCTTACGAAAATACGGTTGTGACCAAAAAACCAGAAGATACCAGACCCTCTTCTAAGGCTAGTTTGGACAGCCAGGATGACAAAAAATCTGGAAAAAGCACGCCCGGTCGTAAATCCACCACTCCGACTAGAGAAACTGGAAAACACAGTCCGGCAAGTGAACAGAAGTCATCGCCTTCCGGCTCGAGCTCTGGAACGAGTCCAATCATCAGATCTGGATTAGAAGTTTTGGGACACGGGAAAGATCACCTGGGTGCCTTTAAAAATCTACATGGTCTGGCCGGATTTAACCCTCTCACTGGACTTTGTTGTCCTCCAGGAATGGAACAACACGCTAATCCAGCCTTTCGACCCCCATACGCAGGGGCTTCATTCAGTGCTCACCACGCCGCAATGCTGGCGGCTGCAGCAGCGTTCCCTGGATCTTCACCCAACCCTTATCTCGGCTACGCTCGCGTTAAAACGCCAGCCGGCGGTGAAACATTAGTTCCAGTCTGCAAGGATCCATATTGCACTGGATGTCAATTCTCAGTGAACAACCACCACTTATTAATGAGCAACGGATCCTGTCCTGCCGGATGCACTCAGTGTGAACACCAAAAATATAACTTGGCTATGGCCATGGCTCTATCTCAACAAGGCCCTGGTGGTATCCCGTACCCGCAAGTGACCCGCCCTTATGTATGTAACTGGATCGTCGGCGAATCTTACTGTGGCAAGAGATTCGGAAACTCTGAAGAACTTCTGCAACATCTGAGAAGTCACACGGCTGACGGGTCGACTCCAGCGTCATCGGCTTCATCGCAGTCTTCATTGTTGAACCCTTTAAACCCGCTGTTTACAACCGCCGGCTTGCGAAGCGCCTACCCGACGGCTCCCTTAAGTCCGCTCTCGGCGAGCCGATACCACCCTTACTCTAAGGCTGGTCTCCCCGCAAGTCTAGGATCATCGCCGTATGGAGCGTTTAATCCAGCCCTAGGTCCATTTTACTCTCCCTATGCAATGTATGGCCAAAGACTTGGAGCGGCTGCAGTGCACCAGTAAATCAGTGTAGAGTGATGTTCTATGTCGACGATTCGGATGGACATGTTAACTGTTGTATTGTCCAATTTTCTTCTGTGATATCAATAGACTCTAATTTAATAAGGCGGTCTGCGCCATGACAAAGTTAGTGAATAGTGCAATTTAATTGTAAGAAGTATTTAAGCAAACTTGTCAAGTTTGTGGCGGGTGATGAGACTTTTTTAAAGACTTTGTACAGCCAAATGCCTGTAAATAGGAATTACTATGTTTAATATTAAATGACTATTTCAAATATATCTACGTGAATTAAAAACTTGTTTATTTTAACAGCACTTTAAGTTTAAAAACTATGGTTTAGTCATAAGTGAAACCAAAGTTTTTATATTTAAATTAATCCCAAATAAGTACAAAAGTCAGTCTGTAAACTTTCAAATTATGCTTTTCTGCTATGTATAGTTTTACTGTCGTTTTTACGTCTTACAATATTAGTTCTCTCGCAATAAATCTCATAGAAAGCGCATTAAACGCAGACATAAAACTGAATTATACGCCATCAACTTGGAACGACTTTCCAACTATGGCGCAGCAGCAATAAACCCAACAGAATGATTGATTAATGTACCTCTAACACACCACATTAGTCCCGTCAATCAACAGACATGGCGTGATAAAACAAGACTGCAATCACGCAACACTACCTCCCACCTAATGCTATAAAAAACGAAAACAATTTTACTTCATTGAAAATACATAAAAAGAAATAATATAAAACCTCTCAACATTAATAACAGGACCGTGAGCTGTCAGTCTGTTAATGCTGAGCTTTTTTAATAAATGTTATTTTGATTAGGCCCATGTCATGCTGGAAATTCAACTGTCAAAAACATAATTGGTCGCGTGAAAAGACTAGAGAGAAATTAGCTGCGGACAGAGACTCAAATTTATGTAACAATGAATACTAACTAGTAATATTTAGTAATAATAAAATTTCAAGAATATAACCACCGTAGTATGGATATTAGACAATAAATTTATCAACTTATCACAAATGCCACGCGTAATTAATTTTATGTTCACTGTCTATTAATTAAAATAAACACATTAACAAGAGTAGCTCATTATGTATATTTCGGTATACATTCTTAAAATTAATATTTCATTTTGAAAGTATTTACTCCGTTTCTTTAATTAAAGCAATTAATTAAAGTGTTGATGTATTCAAGCCATAAAACTTTTTCATTATATTTGTCAGACAAGGCCTATAACTTTGACATACTTTTGCGATGTTTCGCATTGAAGATGTACCTAACGCCATCTAGTTACTATACGGTGAACTACGTTAACTGAGGCACAAGTCTTAACGTACACGTAACTTTTAGTAGGCGGACTGTTTGAAAGCTGTTTATTCACTATAAATATAACTTATTCTAGGCAATATTGATTATGTTAGAGAATTTCTTTAAGTTTTGATAATTAGGAACAATATGAATTAGATATTACTTAACATTTAACTAATATGAAATATCCAGTGACGCTATTACCTTAGAATTTGGCTCTTGGACTCGGAACCCATTTGAACACGACAAATGTTTGTTGCAAAAATGGCAAAAATATTTCTTATTGCAAATCGTGGGTTAAACCTACCGTGCTAATACAGTGTTTCCTTATGAAAAAATGGTAGTACACGTTTTATAATAACCGTGGAGGCTTTGGTTACCATTGAAAATACCAATTCAATAAACAATTAAGTCTATAGACGCGACATAAACAACAATTAATTTGCGTAATTGCCCTTATGGGGCAAGGGACACAAATGTTTCATTTTTCATTGAACAAGTAGGCGACCAGATGCAACAGAATTGAATAAAAGTGAAACTAAGTTTTTATTTTAAACACGAATTATAACGTTACAACAGCGAGCTATTGTATATTATGTTACATTTGATAGATGAGCCGGGAGATGGATGAGATACGGTAATCCCGGCAACGAAATAACCAATTACGATTAACATAAACATAAGGTGAGCTGATTAACATACTATGAATTATGCATTGGTATTATAAACTGAATTAGAGGGTTATACCGACCAATTGTCATAGTAATCGGTTTTTGTTATGCGAACTGAATGGGGCGCTGTCAGATAGGTTTGTGATAAGTGACAAAAATGTTTGTAGTAGTAGTTGAGATATTTAAAAAACATAGTTAAACATTTTTTTTATCTCTATCGAGGAAATCTATTATGAATGTTTTAATGTTTGAGGCTTTTTTTTTGTAATAGTAACTATTAGTTCATTTTCTTCACGAAAATGCTAAATTATTATACATGTCAGTATACTTAATTATTGTTCAATTATATTTGGATAATTACTTAATATTAAATCTCTAATTAACGTCGGTTCTTTATCAAAAAACAGCAAAAAAGAAACTTGCCAGTAGATATTTCTTCCCCTATATAATTACTGATAATAACTAGTTTCAAAAGAGTAATTACTATATTATGACAATGTGACAGCATTGACAGGTAATTATGTATTGGTGAGACTGACGCGGAGTGCAAGGGAGAGGCAAAAGGCTGTTTATTTATTTCCAACGATTTTGTCTTGACCTTTAAAATACCAGTTAATGTTAAAATTGTGCAATTATTACAATAAATTTATGTGATATTTAATCAATAATGTTGCAAGGAAATTAACAATAAATCAAGAAACCTCACAACAAGCTTAAAGTCTGTAAAGGGCTTTCTTGTACACACTTAAGTGCCTAAATGGTATTAAAGTGTTGGTGTTTTAGAACTAATTCTATTTTTGTATTTGAAACATCCAAAACCTTGATCTTTGCAGTGCGGTATTAATCGCTATAAACTTTTACCTTGCGTTTGTTATGTAAACAGATTACAGAGATATTGTGTGTCCATGACACATGTCTATCCACTTGACAAACGCTATTATAACTTTAATTACTAATGATAAGGATTGTCTAGGTACATACGAAAAATGTTATCTTAAAACCTTAATATTTATTATGTTATGAAAGTAAATATTTTGGAATCTATTCCATTAAAAGTTTTATAATATAGTGCTAAATTGTCTAGTAATTCTAAAACTACATTTTAAACGACTTCACTGTCATTGTTTATGTGTGACTACGCTAAAATATATAATTTGAGGTAAACGTAAACTCTCACCTATATTGTTTTTCTTCATCGTAGTCTTCATTACTGAAGGACGTGCCTGTCTTGAAAATAATAAAAAGATACGTCGACTTGCAGCCTCCACACTACTCTTTCCTCAGCTTGTCTCAGTGCATTAGGGATGTTGAGACCCATAATTGTTTTTATTTGGTCAGACCAACGGGTAGAGGATCGACCCCGTCTTCTCCTGCCAGCAGTGAAGGCAGGCTCTACCATTACAAGCTTGTCAAGACTATTCGGTTCTCAACTTGAAATATGGCCAAATTAGCTAAGCACCCGTTTGTAAATGATAGTCAACAGTCTTGTGGCGATATTTAGTTGGTCATAAATGGACGTATTGGTTCTTTATTTTTTAAAGTGTCCATTAATAGTTTTCTAATAGAGATAATTTAGGAGTGCAGTCTGTGGGTCTTAAACTGCATTTTAAACACATTTATTTTAATTAACAGTTTATTGTTATTAAAAAAACATGACACATTTTTGTTTTGTTCCTAAATGTTGTTCCTAAACATTATATCAGTACTATAATACGTTTAGATACATAGACAACCAATACATTAACAATATCTTCTATATATATACATTAAATATAATTATATTAACACAAAGAAACTAATTACAATTTATAAATTCACATTGTCGAAACAATCGTCGCGACAGCGCTATCGTGGCAATTATTTTAATTGTACATTGTAACTTAAATTACTTTGTATTTGAATATAATTAACAATGTCCTCGACTTTTATTACAATATCAAATATACAAAAGTCACGAACTGTTTCACAGCATACTTTACGAGTTAAGTTTTGAAATAATATGACAGCAGAGTAATGAATTGCATAATAGGGTAATAAATAAAGCTATCTTGGCAAATCTATCTGCCAAATATTATAATTATTAGAATTTGTGGTGCACGTTATGATGAGAAATACTATACAAATTACAAATACATCCTATTTTATAACTCTTTTTGAATAAGTAACAAAAACGCGCCTCAGTTAATAATATTACAGACAGATAATTTCATCACTATTATTGTATAATAAATTAGTATGTTTTTGTTCTCAAAGATTTTGTAAATAACACCAGTATTTTATACAATATGAAGCTAAGTTTAACAAATCGAGATCTTCTAACACACAATTGCCACCTCGCGAAGATTAATGCGGCAATAGAGGCACAATTTGAGCCACCCAACCACAGGATACCATATTTTATGTTGACAGACATTACTGCGCTTACGACCGTTTATTCTTTGTGTTCCGTATTTTATTCGCTTTATGACGGCCTCTGACAATATTCTCGTGCGACACAATAACAATGTACAAGCGAATTGCAATCTTATTTTCATGAAAATAAGAGTGAAGTGTAAGAATGACGGGGTAAATAAAAATTGTGTTAATATAATAGCCGTGGATGCCAGTTGTATGTTTGTTAGCATTTTATTTGGGAGCGATCTCGTGTCATAAAATAATGGAGTAATGCTGTGTCGTAAATCATTTTTTTCTTTCATAGGACGACATTTAATACATGGTTGTCTTATTAAAATATTTTTTGTATTCGGAATTCAATGACATTGAATGAATAAATTTTATAGTGAAATTAGACATTGAAGGTTTAATTATGATGAGTTCCTAAAAAGTATATTATACACAGTTGCTAAATAGTGTGAATTTGTTTTTCTATGTTACCGTCGTGTGTATATTACAAGATAAGCTTATGCTTTAGAGTTTTTACTATGCAATAAATACGATTACTGTCATTATGTGCAGTAAAAATCGTTGTACTAAATCCCACGTACAACACACTTGTAGTTTCCACATGCAGTTT